ATGAGTGGATTTCTAACAATTCGCTTATGACTTCGGCGCTTCATTGACTCCTTTACACCATGGAGATAGCGCGAAATCGACGAGAGGCTTTACTTAAACCCTCATATTTGAGTTTGGGAGAGCGTAACAGTAGCCGCTAGAGCTAAGACGCAGAGTTCGTCTAAAAACTTATTCTAAATCTTGACAGCATGCACATTTTTCCGCTTGAGAGTAAAATCAAGATGGGCAAAAACTCCTCATTAGAAGTAGGTTTCCCAACTTTGATGAACTTTTACGCCTCTAGTCTAACATGTGTTAATGGTGTGAACGAGGCCATTTTATTGCACATCAGAATTTCCCACCCACACGTCTCCACCATGCTCGGACACTAATGTTTAGATACTTTCACGTGCGTAATGTTACAATGGGAACAACCTTCGTCTGCAATTTTCTAGCTTTTTTCTTTAGTCAGCTGTGCTATGCAAATCATAATTTCTTGCTGATAAGCGATGAAGCACGAGCTATCGATAGCTATGGAGCTATTGGGACGCCTTGGTGCAATTTCAGGTAAACCTGGTCGCAGCTTCTCGATGAGAAACCGAGCCTTCCGCTAGGTAAGGTAGTGGGGATAGGTGCCCGGACTTGCCTTATTGTTAGACTGGAGATCGTATTGGGCAGATCTTTGGCTTTAGGTTTCTCTTTGTAATGTTTTTTAGGCACTGAATCCCATGATTCACAGCGCACAGAAATGTCAGATTTTGCTAGCTTTAGCTTTTTTGCTAGCTTCGAATAGCTTTCACATAGAAATAGTTACTGACAATTCGTTAAATAGTTACTGACAATTCTTCGACGTTCCTACTCATTCAGCATTCTCACGCTTGGGAAAAGAGCCACAACGTTGTCGTGAAATGTTTTGTGTTGATGTTCAAAGTTTCACGCAAGGCACTCCAAGGTTTGAAAAAAACAGATATTCAAACAGAGGTTTTCCAGGGCTTTTTGAGCGTACCTGCCGAAGTTTTTAGCTTAAAAGGTTAGTTCTCATACCGGTACGATCACTTTTCTGCATATAGTACTGCTGTAGAACGAGTTGCATAAATATAAATATCAAATTGACTGTTATAGGTCACACCATCATAGTCATGTTTTGTTACTTTTTTGGCTCGAAACCGTAACATTGCCCGTTCTTTGTAAAGGCTTCGAAAGCTGCAGGGTAGTAACTACTTCGTTAAGTACATTTGAATGAGTCATGTATAACACTTTAAAAATTTTCGGCAATAATATTCGTTATGGTTTTATCCTGTTATGGTAGTATTCACCCCCAAATTCACAGTGTTTAAGCCACATGATAATAGGCCTTTTCTGATTTTGGAAATGAGGAAACTTAATATGTGAGCTACAGGCCTCAGTGGTTGCACTTGAAATCCAAACCCTTGATGGCCTTTCAAGATTCTGAAGCTCCAAATCTTCTCGGTTATTAAGCTATTGTAAGGGCATCTATTTTTTGCTACACCAATCCACTAAACAGCATCTTTACTTAACATCTACAATCAAAGTCTCTATAACTTCTTGAATGCACATGGTATGATGAGTCGCATAGAAGTAACTTACGCATCTTGATTTACCTTAGGCATCGGGCATACCTCGTCGCTGCGCGATTG